AGGTATTACAGTGGCATGTTTAAGGTCAGCAGGAACAGTGCCAGAAGAGAGAGAGCAGTTAAAGATGTGTGTTAGGGTAGGCACAAGACAAGGGGAGAGAGATCTGATGAGGTGAGATGGGACAGGATCGAGCGAGCAAGTGGTGGGGCGAGAGGAATGGAGAAGTGCAGCAACCTCTTGTTCAGTAGCCGGGTAGAAAGTCTGGAGGGTAGGGAAAGCAAGATTTACATGTGGTTGAGAAAGAGAACGGCAAGGAGGGGAGAATTGTTTCCTTAGCTGTTCAATCTTGTCGGTAAAGTAGCATGCAAAGCTATCAGCTGTAAGGTTAGTTTGGGGGGTGGCCACAGCAGGGCGGAGAAGGGAATTAAAGGTGTCAAAGAGACGTCTGGGATTGCAGGAGCATGAACTAATGAGAGAGGAAAAGTATGACTGTTTGGCGAGAGCGAGGGCTGCGCTGTATATATGCATATATATATAAATGCTTATTTATTATTAAACAAATACAGAAAAATGCTAAAAAAAGAAAAAATGTGTGTTTTTTGTACAGTGTTTGCAATAATAATAAAAATAAATTAATTTAGTTGTTCTGATTTACAGAATATATAATGTGTCTGGGATTTTTAGTTTTTTTTTGGTAGTTACAGGTCACAAAGCACAAGGAGTAAAATAAACTTTTAATGTGGAGTGATTTTAGAATTTGGTATGTTTGTTCAGTAAGCTTAATAGCCATAAAAGAAAACAAAATTGCCACAAAAAAGTATATATTTATATAAAGTAGACATCACAGGCTATTGTTCTAAGGTTGTTTTGACACTTTCTACGTAGCCATTTCACCGCCATTCTCTGCTAAATATTGGAGTAAAATTTAGTTTTATAATCCAATTATACCATAAAGGCATACCATTTCTTAAAGAAGACATCCCAGGGTAATTCAAAAGGCATATTTTGAACCTTAGCGTGGGATTATTTTTCCGCTAGCTTGTACCAAGTGTAGTGGTACTGAGGATTTTTTTTATGTGTTTTTTACTTTGTAAAACTTTTTTTACTTTGTAAAACCCTTTTTAAAACTTTTTTTTACTTATTAAATGTTTTAGACTTTCTTAACTTTTTTTACACTTTTAAATTTTTTTCTAAACTTTTCTTTTACCGTTAACCCCTAACTAGCAGTAAGCAGCACTAACAGTAAATTCCCCCCTTTCCCAAAACTCCCACCCACTCCAGCTAGCAAAATATATATAATTATAAAATATTTAATTAATTAAATAAATTGAACCCCTAAGGGTTAAAAAATAAATAAAAGTTAATCCTCAAGGGTTAAAAGAAATTAGAGTACAGTATAATACTGTAATCTGTATTTTGACCACTGTAGGCAGTGATCAACTGGCAGGGAATGGGTTAATTTTTATTTAGACTGGGTAAAGGGGGGTGGTATATATGGTTTTTTTTTTTACTTAAACATTACTAAAACATTTTTAAATTTTTTTTTACCCTTTTAAAGCTTATTTTAAAACTTTTTTAAACGTTAACCCCTAGTTAGCCTAACACCAAATTCCCCAATTCCACACTAACTTCCACCCATCCCAGCTAGCTAAATATATAATTTTTAAATATTTAAATTAATTAATAAAATAAATGTAACCCCTGAGGGTTAAAAAAAAAATAACCCTCAGGGGTTAAAAAAAAATAAAAATCACACAGATGACAAAATGTATTCAAAATGTATACCCTGCCAATTGATCACTGTAGTCAGTGATCAATTGGCAGGGAAGGGGTTAATTTTATTAAAGCAGGGGAAAGGGGGGGGGGTGGTATTTAACTTTATTTTTATTTTTTTACACAGGGAGAAGATCAGCAGCACTGATCCGTCTCCCTGAACTTCACACAGAACCCAGAAGTGCAGAGAGGCGGAAGGTGCTCGCTCTGACCGGTGCTGGGGCAGCGTGATCCAGTGCTCCCGGTCTGCCTCCAATACAGAGGCAGAACTGAGCACCGTTAACCCCGCAATCGCCGCAATAGCGGCGATCTGGATTTAACTTTAGTAATTTTCCATCAACGGTCCTTAACCGAAGGACAAGGTTGACGGAAAATTTCCATGTGCAGTCGGGAAGGGGTTAATCATATGAAAGATTTAAATATAAATGTAAATTACTAAAAAATATATAATAGGGCGTTGTAATTTTTAAAAATATCACAGCAATTATTTAAAAATGGTTCCAGGTGTAGCCTCCTTGCGTAGAGTGAGTAAAATATATAAAACAACATTAAGATGTATGATGGAAATGGAGGGGGTACTATAAGGAAGCAGTTGGAATATAAAACAGTATGAGGGGTGATAAATAATAATGTTTATAAAATAATATGATAATTTTAAGAATGTATAGTATTATTATGGAAAATGTATTCATACTTACCGTAATATTTTGTTCCTAGTTATTATTCATGGCAGTTCATACGTATATGGATTAGCTCCGCCCCTTACAGCCAATAGGACAGGAAAAAACACCAAAGACTTAAAAGGAGGCTCCAGTCCTAAGGTCTTCAGTCAGTAACAAGCACTACAGTAAAACATAGAGACATATTAATGGGTGGGCAGTATAGGCTGCCATGAATAATAGCCAGGAAAATAAAATTACGTTAAGTATGAATACATATCCCTGGCTAATTATGGCAGCCTATACGTATATGGGAATACACAAGCATCAAAGAACAAAAAAGGGAGGGACCAGAATATTTCAAGATGCAACATATATTTATTAAGTGGTAAACACACAAGTTTAACGAGAGACACGAACCGCTTGAAGGACGTTACGTCCGAACAGTGCCTCATTAGCAGACCTAACATCCAGATTGTAATGTCTGATGAATGTATTCAGAGAAGACCAATTGCCAGCTTTGCAAACCGAGTCTGAAGAAGCATTTGCTACAGTAGCCCATGATGCTGCCACAGCACGTGTAGCATTGTATGGTATTGTAGCTTAGTCCTTTATCGAGTCCTGACTGGAGAAAACTAAGTATAGTAGTTATCGGAGGTGGAGAGATATGCAACTCATGCTCCAAGGACCACATAACAAATACTTGCCAAATTTTATAGTATGAAGAATATAAATACATACATACAAAGGATGGAGGTAGATTTCACAGTTGCGTGTCTTAAAGAAAGTTATACAATAATAGTGCAATATGCAAATACAATAGTGCAAATATAGTATTTAGGTGCCAAAGGAACACTGACACTTTTCAGACCTTTACAAGCTCTATATATGGAGCCTGGACAGAATAATCCCCGTGTATGGATTCCTTTGTAGTTATCAACACTGTGTAGTTCTCAAAAGGATGAGGTTCATCATATGCAAAAGATAAGAATAGATACCAATGGTACAGTATAGTCTTTTCGAGACTGGTTTTGATAACAGAACTAGTAATGCCTTTACCTATAAGCGACTCCCACTCAATCTCCATGCCATCAAACCCAGAGCCTGAGGTTCTGGGTGAAACAGAGGACCTTGAATCAGAAGATCTGGTCGGGCTAGCAGATTTTCTGGGACGTTCCAGACTCATCTGAATTTCCATAGGGAACCAAGGTCTTCTTGGCCAAAAGGGGAGAATAGCTGTGGTCTCCACTCTCTCTCTCTCGAATCTTTCTCAGAACCGCATAAATTAGAGGTATGGGAGGAAAAATGTAGGTCAGGTTGAGTCAAGGCATCCTGACCCTGAGCTTGTGGGTCGAAGTGTCTGGAGAAGTAATCCTGTACCTAGTTGTTCCAGGTCAGGTCTATCTGAGGTACTCCCCAACGTCTTGTTAGTTCTAAGAAAAATTCTGGACATAGATATTACATGGCTTATAAAATCCACCACTATTCTGACTCCCTTGAAGATGGACTGTGGAGAGACCTTGAACATGTCACTGTGCCCATATCAAGATGGGTAAATCTCTCTTATCAACATGCAACTGTGGGTTCCACCTTGATGGTTTATGTATGCCACTGCCGCCTTGTTGTCTGATCGGATATGGATCCACCTGTGAGATATACTTCTCCTGAATCTCTGGAGAGCTTTGAAAATAGCTCTCACCTCCAGGATGTTGCTTGGGAATAAAGATTCCTCCTGTGACCACTGACCTTGAGCTACCTGGTTCAGGCAATGTGCTCCCCATCCTTGTGCACTGACATCTGTAGTTAAGATTATCCAGTGTGGGTCTGTTAAGGGAAACCCCCTGGTCACATTCTACTTCCTCAGCCACCAAGTGAGATGCAGTCTCGTCAGTGGGGGAATATTCATTAACTGATTCCAATTTCCCTTCCTTATGTTGAATTGGGAAAGAAAAGCCTTTTGAGGCACACACAGATGCCACTGTGCTCATCTTATCAGGCCAATCGTGGAGGCTAGAATTCCTAGAAGTTGCATAAACTTCCTCGCAGTGAACAGTAGTGATGTACCGAACGGTTCGCTGGCGAACGGTTCCTGGCGAACATAGCATGTTCGCGTGTTCGCCCCCTATTCGTCATCATTGAGTAAACTTTGACCCTGTACCTCACAGTCAGCAGACACATTCCAGCCAATTAGCAGCACAGCCTCCCTAGCAGACCCTCCCACCTACTGGACAGCATCCATTTTAGATTCATTCTCAAGCTGCATGCTTAGTAAGAGGAGGGAAAGTGTAGCTGCTGTTCATAAGATAGGGAAAAACATAGCTAGGTTAGGGATAAGGGTATGCTTTTTTTTTATTTATTTTTTCTATGTAATGTAAATGCACTTAGTTGTCTGCCACTGCTGCCAGCTTCTGTGTCAGGCTCACAGTGCATACTGTGCCCATTTCCCCAGTCAGTGCCACCAAATACATCTGGTGTCACAATGGCTTGGATTTAAAAAAAAAAACTTTTTTCACTGTTATAGATTGAAT